AACAACAGGACACAAGCTATGAACTTCCCTTCACCCTTTTCTGAACACACTGTACAGACTGCAGCTATGTTGAGCATTATCAGGCTCCCCTTTGGCGCACACTACATAAAGTGCTTATGAAAGGCTATTAGTAACAAAAAACCTAACAGTATCAGAGCTTGTTAGGTGTACTTGGCATGGCGCTAGGAATGTTACATTTTGATTAATCAGCTGAGTAATCAATGGAATTTCCATCAACTACTCCATTAGTCGAGAAGGGGGGCACTCACTATCACACTGCCTCTCTCCCTCTGAAATGTACAAGAGATGCCGGTGGCTCTTGTATATGTCAAAGGAAGAGAGGAAACCTCTCTGCCTTTGAAATGTACAAGAACCGAGGTAGCTCCTATACATTTCAAATGGAGAGAGACAGTGGGAACCCGCACTGGCAGGGAGCAAAACAGTCAGCGTTTCAAAGCGGTAGCACCGTGTGGCACCTGAGATCAGCTGAGGAATCCCTAACTGATCCCAGGCTTCACAGGGCACTGCTGCTTTGAAATGCCGTGAGGAGCCTGACATCAGGCTCCTCCTGGCATTTCAAAGTGGCAGTGCTGCATGGGGCCCAAGGTCAGTGGAAGAGTAGTAGTAACAGCTGTTGCCCCTCCTCCCCCAGGTGAGCACCAATGCCTCAGATGCCTTCCTGTGCGCAGAATGGGAACCCAGCGGTGGGGTCCTGGGTGCAGGGAGGGCCAGGCGCCCCCTGCTCCCTCCATGCTTGCTGTGTCGGGTGGGACGAGGCCAACAGATGGGCAGTTGTTACACTTCAAAGGTGGAGGCACCCTATCAACTAATTGAATAATTAATGCAAAATGCATCAGCTATTCGATTAGTCAATTACTCACAATTTAACATCCCTAGTCCCAACTGGACTGCATGAAAATAAATGGTAAGTTATACTCCAAATACAAATGGTTATTTTACTCCTCTGGACTGGAGTGGCTGAGCAAGAGGTGTGTTGCCCAGGTCCTGCAACCTGTGGGCTGATTGAGAGCCTGCCAAGAGGTGTGTTGCAACCTGTGGGCTGATTGAGAGCCTGCAGGGAGGAATGCTGAGGAGTCCCTCGCAGATGGTACAGGAACCCTAGAGAGGACTACAGGCAGATGACACTAGTGCGGATGGTAGGCAGTAGATGGGATGTCCTCTTCTCTTCTTCTGACTGGTTTGCAGATGGATCAGATTCCTCGGTGGTTTCAGGAGAGAGCTAATGACCCACACAAACACTGCCACTGAGGTGGATAGCACCCCTTCTGGGTTGTGTCCGAACTTATAAAGCCTCCAAGGCGGGAAACCCCTGAGGTGCTTTTTACCACATGATTCTCCTCCTGCTCCCATCCCCCCAGCAGAGACCAGTTATGAGGTAAATGGAAAAAGGCAGGAATTCTGGTTTATGCCCATTCTTATTTACCACTCTGAGGAGGAGAGCCCCTCCCTGCTCTGAGATCACTCAGTATACCAGGGCTACTCAAACTAGGGGAAAGCATATTAATTCTGCACTGATAGGATTTTTTGAAGGACCAGGAAAATGCATTGATTTGAAAAAGCTTATTTTGGTAACAACTGATGGCACTCCCTCCATGGTTGGAAAAGAGAAGGAGCTAATTTCTTTGCTGAAGAAAAATCCACAGTTTTCAGATTTCTTTTCATATCATTGCATTCTGCACCAAGAACAGTTAATGCAGCAAACTGAAGAGTTATCAAGAGCACAATGGATAGTGTCACAAAAATTGTCAGCTTCATTGTTGCAAATGCCTTGAAAAGTAGACAATTTCAAGCTTTAGCTGAGGAGTCTGAAACACAGTATGTTTTGACTATGAGACATTTTTGCTAAATGTGGTTTTATCACTGATATGACATGCAACTTAAATGCATGGAATCTTAAAATTCAAGGCAAGAAAAAACCCTGCTTCTCTGATGTGTGATGTTTCAGCATTTGAAAGAAAATTGGCCTTTTCTGCAGATCAGCTTCATGAGAAAGACTTAACTCACTTTCGCATCCCCAACTCGCAAGTGACACAGCTGAGTGAACATGCATCTTTTTTGCCTGATTTTTTTTAACAGAGTACATATCAGAGCTGAAAACTAAATTTTGTTCTAGTTTTCTAGATATCAAATCCCTGAAGACAGTTCTTGAATTTAATGAAAATCCATTTTCAGTTGAGATAAAGGCAGTTTCATCTTCAGCAGTGAGATTTGGTGTTGAGGACGACCATATTTGAAGAAGAGATGATAGAGCTGCAAAACAATAGCATTCTAAAATCTAGATATAAGGAAGAGAACACTGAAACATTTTGGATGACCATGAAGACATGGAAGACATGTACCCTGAAATGTGCCCAAAAAAGTGCTAACTTCTTTGGGTCTACATATGTCTGTGAAAGTTCATTCTTCTCCATGGGGATAATCAAGTCAAAACTGTGCACTTCTCTTACTGACAGACATCCAACCGACTGTCTCCATGCTGTTACAACAGAATACAAGCCTGATGTGCAGACACAATCTTCACATTGATTGTACTCCAATAAATTCCAGTACCATATTGGCAGTTTTTGTTTGATATGTTAAAATTGTGAAGCCAAAACAAAAAAGTAGTTAATATAATGGTCTTCTGTTGATATGCGTTTTAGTAGTTAAATTCCTGGACTGTCATTGCTTATTAAAAGTGCTGTCATCTTGGTGGAAATTAATAAATATTGCATTTTATTAATATCAACAGAACTGACGTAAATAGGGCTTGCATGTTGTGTAGTCTTGCCTTACTCTTTGTATTCATGACCGTCAGTGTGAAAGGAGCTATTTGCGTATATTTGCATATCTATTTGCATATATAGGCAACTACACTTAAGTTGCGGCTCTCGGCATGTGCTGTATTTCTGGGGGCCCCAGGGCTTCCAAAGTTGAATAGTCTTGTGGTATACACACTCCATTTTGTTTTACATTAATAGCCCAGGAATATCATTTAACATTATCAAATAAACATACAATTCTTATAATTAACATATTTATATGATTGATTACTATTACCAGGAGGTCAGCCTACACCATGGGCCATAAAGATCTTCATTTCCCATAGAAGAGGGGAACATCAGTGACCTCCCCTTCAACTCCCAAAGAGCAAGTCAGTCAACAGCCTCCTCCAACACCACACCAAGAGGAGCTAAGGCAACCACTTTGCTTCCCTGAGGAGTCTATAAGAGTAAAGTGACCTGGTGCATTTTCCCCTCCCTTTGCTGTGAGAATAGGGGGCGTTTGCTACCTCTGCTAATCTAGGGAGGAAGTGGGATGGGAAGAGGGTGGAAAATTACCTTTCTCTATTTGGAGACTAAATGGGGGTTCTTGCTTGAGAGATACATCTCAGATAAAGGTTGGAGCATCCAGGGGTTAGAGTGAACCTCTGGGTTGAGAGGCTTACAGGAGGCAAGTTACTGCAGTGAGGTGTTGGAATGGGATGGAGGAGGAACTGCCATGTTTGAAGGAACGGGGCTGAGATACAGGTAGGGTTGCCAGGTGTCCGGTATTGACCCAGACAATCTGGTGTTTTCGCTTCCTGTCCAGTAAAAAAAATTAGAAAATACCGGACACCTGAAACGGCTGGTATTTTCTGTTTTTTCCTCTGCCAGGAGGTGAAAATACCAGACACCTGGCAACCCTAAGACACACTTGGCAACTGGGCTCAGCCCCCGGTCTCCCCCACCTGGCCCCCCTGCATACCTGGATGGGGCAGCTCGATCAAGAAAACAAGATGGCTGCTGGAAAAAAAGCCTGAAGCAACGGGAAGCAATGTCTTCCCTGGGTCTTAGTGCTCAACTCCTCCCCTGTCGCACTTAAAGGGGCCATGCTATTTTAATGCTGTTTTATTTATTTATTTTTGCTTAATAATTCTTGGGGGGTCCTTTTTTTTTAAAGAAATGCCTTCCCTGGGTCTGAGTGCTCAACCTCTCTGATCTCGCACTTAAAGGGGCCATGCTGTTTTAATGCTGTTTAATTTAATTTATTTATTTATTGCTTAATAACTTTCAGGGTCCTTTTTTTTTTTGCTCCACAACCTTGGTCTTCCCCCCTTTTTTGCTCCACAACTTTGGTCTTCCTCCCTTCCCCCGCCCCCCCGGGGTTTTTTTTTTGGGGGGGGGGTTCGGTATTTTTGCTTAAACCATCGCCCAGGAAAGCTTATGCACCAATATATCTGTTATATTTGTTGAGGCTGGCAATAAACACCCAAGATAATAGGAGTATTTAAATATACACTCTCGGTTATTTTTATTTACCTTGTAGTGCACTTGGGTCACATTTTCAAGCTTCCTCTCCACAACCAGGAGGGCCAGAAACATACTTGTAAAGCTGAGATCATCACATATGCTGTTGCATCTGACGAAGTGGATCTTTGCCCAGGAAAGCTTATGCACCAATATATCTGTTAGTCTATAAAGTCCCACAGGACTGCTCCTTGTTTATACATAGTACGTTGGCTCCCTGTGGCCTCTGTTGTTTTAAAGGAGGAAATGTGATGTACAGCATGTCTCACAGCCTAGGATAGTGGAAGCGACCGTGGGCTTGGGGGCCGAAGCCGATGAGGGGGCAGCAGCACTGTGACCATATGTCCCAGGAAAGAGCTAAACCTAGAAGTTTCCTAGTAAACTGGGACACAAAGGGGAACACTGGTCACCTCTATCCACTTGAGAACTGTAGGTAGCGGCTCCGCCAAGGGGCCTGAGTAGTCCCTGTTCTGCTCCCCAGCTCCAGCTTGGCTTTGTCCGGGGCCAAGCCGCGTGCCCGGATGCCCCGCTAGCTCCCGAGCAGGGACGGAAGAAGGCGGCTCCCTTTCCTTTGCTACAGAGAAGCCCAGTCCCCCAGCGCTGCTTCCAGAGCGGGGCAAGGGCGGAGTGAAAGCGGCAGAAAGGGGCGGCTTCAGTTTTGCCTTATTATGCAAGGAGCCAGGGGCGCAGCGCGGGACTCCAGGCACAGAGACTCCCCGCCCAGCGCCTGCCTGACCGTAGCCCTCTAACCAGTGAGTGCCGGGGGGCAGGAGACAAAGCTTGGTCTAACCCGGGGCACTTGGGGTCCGCACTCCCTGTGCTCTGGCTGGTGCACGCGGGGGCCCCTGGTGCTGCTCTGCTCCGTGCAGGCTCGCGGCGCTTTCCCCTCGCTGCCTCTCGCCGCCTCTGCTCGCCTGGGCTTGGAAGTGCGGCGGGGGAAGCTCGCCTCGCGCTGCCTGGGGTGTCGGCTCCCTCCGCTCGGCGGCGCGCAGGGGCAGCCGTTCGTGAGTCTCGCTGCTCTGTGGGCCCTGCGGGTGAGGTGGGAGCCCCTGCCCCCATCTTCCACCTGTGGCGTTGTTCTGAGCCTTTGTGACGCGCCCGCGTTCCCTCAGCTGCTGGAGTTCCCGGGGGCCTTTCGGACTCTCCCGGCCTCGGGGAGCCGTTAAAAGCACCTGCCGGGTGCGCGAGGCGCTTGCAACAGGCGCTGCTGCGCAGCTTCTGGGCTCCGATGTTATCCTCCTGGGTAACGGGCGCCGCAGCCGGGATAGTCTTCCTGCACCTCGTCCAGAAATTCCTCTTCCCCTACTTCTGGCTCGACCTGAACTACCTGCTGAAAGTGGTAATCCATGGGCTGACCCTGGAAAGCTACAGGCTGCGCGGGAAGATTTTCACGGTGCTGGACCGGTTTGTGAAAGAAGCGGAAAGGCAGCCCCGCAAGCCGTTCATCCTTTACGAGGGGAATGTGCACACTTACCAGGATGTGGACAGGAGAAGTAACAGGGTAGCTCACGTCTTGCTGCAAGAGGGGGCTCTGAAAAAAGGGGATACCGTTGCCCTGCTGATGAGCAATGAACCCGACTTCATCCACGTGTGGTTTGGAGCGGTCAAGCTGGGCTGTGTGGTGGCATTCCTCAACATCAACATCCACGCCAAGTCCCTTCTGCACTGTATCAGTAGCTGTGAGCCCAAGATGCTAGTTGTGGGAGCAGGTATGTTATATCCCTAATGTGTACGCTCATGCTTTTAACCTTCTATACTTTATTTCACCTCCACCTTCTTTCATTGGAGACCTGGTTTTGCCAGATGCTGTAATATTTATAGCAGGCATCCAATCATGAACTGGTCCCCCTGGTGCTGTAAACTTATGAGGATATTGTTCTTAACACAAGCAGCTTGCATTCTTAAAAAGTTGTGTGGCATACAGTGGAGGAGTTCCCCTGCAAACTTATAATAGATAACACGAAAAGTATGGTCTGTAATAGATGTATTTCAGATTCAGTAGTCAGGATTAGTTTACTTTGTGTTAGTTTAAAATTATGGGTGGATATTTGGTAGATGTTCAGAAGAGAGAACTTGTTTGACCTGAATGTACTATACAATGTAATTAGTGTTTGAGGCCAGCTCAAACCAAAACCAGGTATCCAAAACCAGAGTTTGATAAGCAAAGAGTTGCAGTATACAAACCAGGTACTAGTTTTGCAGTGGTCCTTTATTTTTCTTCCTATGAAGGACAAAAGTTGTGTTTACAAGTGCTTTTCTCCCCCTCCCATGGCAAAAGTTTTGCTGTGGAAAACAAACACAGCTTTGCGCCAAGACTAAGCAAAATCAGACAAACACTTGTGAATTTTGGGGTTGGAAAGTGTTTCAAAACTTGACATCCTAAATAAGCAACTTTGTGCCATCTCTAAAATTACCATGTCCACCAGCATTCTGTACCTTGCTTCTGGTTTTACTCTATTACTTAGACATTTCTAGGCTGATAGAGGGCTTTTGCACCCTTTTCACCTGACTGGTGAAGTTTCCTTTTACATACTACAGGCAATTCTAAAACTTTGTTATTTTTAGTTTCATTGTATATTTTTTACTACTGTTTGTGTAGATTTTTTTTAAACATGAGTGGAGAGGAGTGTTATTTAAGCAAGTTACTGTAATGAGAACCATGAG